AGTTCATCGGGTATTGGATGACGCAATCAATGGACTCCCAGTAACCTTCGAAACTATCAAGAAGATCACTGAAAGTGATGAGGTACTGAGTACAGTCAAATGCTATCCGTCGACCAAATGGCCAAACAATCGCCTTGACGGAGAACTTTTGCAATATTTTCGTCGACGGGACTCACTAATGGTTGTTGACTCGTGTATTATGTTCGGCGATCGAATTGTTATTCCGTAGTTATTACGTCACAAGGTTCTCAAGCAGTTTCACAATGGCCATACTGGAATAAATAAAATGAAGTCGTTGGCTCGTAGTTATGCTTATTGGCCGTCAATGGACAAGGATATCGAGAATATGTGCCGTAACTGTTCATCATGCATTCAAGCCGCTAAAAATCCTGTGAAATGCGAACCTCAGTACTGGCCTACGCCTGCAGGACCCTGGGAAAGAATTCGTGCAGATTTTGCCGGTGCAATCCAAGGGAAACTGTTTCTAATTATCGTGGATGCATTTACTAAATGGCCGGAAGTATATACCATGCCAAATTGTACAACCTCAGAAACAATCTACAAGCTGTCTACCCTGTTTAGCTGTTACGGAGTACCAGAGACCTTAGTAACAGACAACGGCTCGCGATTCGCCGCAGAATCGTTCAAGCATTTCTGTAAAGCGAACGGAATAACTCATCTTCGTTCTCCACCCTATCATCCACAATCTAACGGACAAGCAGAACGCTTCGTGAACACCTTTAAACGAGCATTACTGAAGGGGGGAGCCGAAGGGCCGACTGGGCAGGTGATCACGAAATTTTTAACATCCTACAGATCCACTCCGAATCCGAATGTTCCGGACGGCAAGTCTCCTGCGGAAGCCATGTTCGGAAAACGTGCCCGAACCGTCTTCAATGCCATGTTGCCATCCAAATTAGTTGATGAGCGCAGTCACAATCCAAGTATTCGGAACTTCAATGTCGGCGACAAAGTTTACATTAAATCCTACATCGGGAAGAACCGATGGGAGCCGGGAGAAGTTGTACAAAAATTGGGAAGAGTTCTGTACAGACTTCGAGGAACTTTTGGGATATGTATACGACATACCAATCAAATCCTTAAAGGCAAAAGAACGATGCAGAATCGAAGTAACCCGCTGATTTTTCCGTTAGATTTAATCTTAGAGGCACAAATGCCAAAGAACACTGAAAGGAAGCCGTGGACAGGGAAGACGACGAGAATAATGGGACGACGTCGCAACCCAGTTGTCAAACTACAAGTTGACCCTAGAAAGAAATCTTATTCGGGGGGTGTTAAGTCGGCTTACAGTAAACTCTATCAGAGCCCCCAGAGGCTCATAAAGAGCCCAACCAACCAGCGATTAGTTAGAAGCTATGCTATTAAAATAACGAGGTTCTGATTGGCTATTTAACATACTGCTACTATGGAAACTCAAGGTCTTTTAATTATTATAAAACCCCTGTTTTTTCTGTACATAAATGAACCTTGTAGTAAAGTATTTCTCTCATACTCGTGTCTTCTCTCTGGTCTTCAAGTCGCTGAGTAGTGCTAGCCTGGGGTTATCCGAATAGCTTAGGATCTGAATAAAGCGTTCAACTTACAGCTAAGAAAGTTGATTAACTCTTTGGGTTCGATTATTGTTGTTTAATTGAGATTACATACATTAGGTGTAAACATCGTATGGATAATCAAGAGGTCTAAGATAATGTATTCCGGAATGACAGAGTTGATAGTTTTATGAGGATTAGTATTTTACAGCGCTAGTTTTCATGGCTTGCTCATGTTGTACGCACGTTATCAAGTCCTCCTATACTACACCAACACTTGAAGCGTATAGGAGAAATTGAAACATTACCGGTTCGTGATATAGAAGTTATTATGAGAACTATAATCCCCTAGTCCGTCACAAGGCGCTAAACAGGGTCCTATAAATACACCAACCCATTGGCTTTAGAACTCATCAAAGACGATTCAGAATAGAAGCAATTAGCCAACCTACCATGGTAAGATGTTATTATTAATTGAAATAAAATATATCTTGAATTCACTCAGTATTGTTTGAATCTTCCCAATGATGTTTAGGACTACAAATGGTAAGTCTCTTAATGGCATATGCGCAAACATCAATGGGAAGATTCAAACAAACAATAATAAGTGAATTTAAACTTCACCCCATCGCACAAGCAAGTGGCTATTAGGACTCAATAGCTGAGTGGATAATGCGATGGCGTTTGAAGCGAAAGGTACTGGGTTCGAGTCTCAGAGTGAACATCAACTCTGCGATGCAGGTAAATCCAGCTGACGAATCCCGAATAGGACGAAACACGCATCACACTGGATTCCACTGTTAGCCATTATCCATCTTTTCAAAATATATCTTGGTTGTAATTTTGCTAAGACTATATAATTTCATATGTATCATTGTTCTTTCAATTGACTATTCAATGTTTTAATCTGTATTCATTTTCCTCATTCTATAGTCAGTCAGTCACAACGTAGAACTTCGTATGTACGTACATCAATTCGAATTGCCATACCACATTAGCACAGAGATGAAGTTGTCGATTCATATCCTATAGTGGTAGAGGTAGTAAGAGTATAAGCACTGTTCCGAATGATTAGGGTTTGAAGATTTCATTCAAGGAGTATAACGCAGTGAAATAAATTTGGAAGGAGAAAAAGGATACGAACATGAAGAATTCAAAGGATTGGAATTTGGTAGAACACAAACAGTGGATGCACCTTCGCCATTGCAAACGATTTTGAGACATGTCATTCAAGGTCTCCAACCATCGATTGCTATCATCTCGTGAATCCCAACCAGGTAGTCTACACCTACCAACATGGCTCAGTCCAATTGTCAGTGACTTCATGGATTTGTGCCACGTTTTGGTCTGGTCGCTTTTAGTTTTCTTCCAACCTACTCCTATACCATAATACATTAAACATTTATCAACTGCTTTCATCTCCTTTGTATTTATTCTAGCTACCAATCACTTCAGCCGTAATATTTATTAAACTTTATCGCCTTCAGCGATTGTTCAAAAATTCGGTGTTAATCACAAATAGGTTATAATTCTTAAAATGATGCGTCGAATTAAATTCATATTCGTCACATAATCACCTTTCCTTTATGTTCTATACCTTCAGGTTTTGTATTTCAGTTTTCAATCAATATTATACACTTTAATGAAAAAATAATTTGGTCGTGAAATTAAGTCACCATTTACTTCATTCAGTTTACTAATCATAATATAGTTGAAAAGTTTTTCATAGCAGTTCGTTGATATATTCTCTCACTTATTTTATTTCAACACATAAATATTAGAACAGAAAAAGTTAGCGAATACATCTGCGCCACGTAAATCATTCAATTTTTCCCCCTAATTCCCCGACATGGCCGAGAGTGGGGAGAGTTAGCTCTCCCTCTACAAATGATCTCACATGATCACGTGCATACAACCTACTAACAGGTAAGTCCTACTCACTGCATTCTCGCCGCATTACTGTTGTTTACGAAATTGAGAGGACGAAAAGCGAATGTTCGGCGATTTAACTGAGTTGGTGGACACGGAGATTTCACCTAAGGAAGTTGGAAAACCTTCATTCCAAACCAATGATAAGCATAGGGTCCAAATTCCTGGAGGAATAAATGGAGTATGAATCATTTGTTGTTCACTGGTTACCATGGGACTACTTCTCCTGACGTTGTTCCACTGCTCCACTGACCTTCAGGTGAAAGGCTCGTGGTGCGGTCCCTCAAGAAAACCATCTGCCTCAGTTTTGACACCCGGACAGTATCCCAGCCTTCACACAAATCGAATGATTTTAGTGGGCCACATGTATTTGGCACCCTCTTGTACCAATGTTTATAAGTTTAAATAATAATAATAATTTTCGATAAATTCACTTCAGATTTTTGAACCTGAAATCATACATTAAATACATTATTTGAATATCTTCCCTCAGTTGTGGCGTACATGCTTCATGATTCTTCGAATTCTACTGTTATAGCAATTGCTCTCTATTTCCCTTCCCGTTCTCGTTGATTCGATTTTCTGCTGACAGGCATCTCCCTTCCAATGACTGCTACATGCTACTTATATCTATCGCATAAGTAGTATACACCATGTATATAGCATTGATTTATGTAATAGAATGCAAATTAATTTATGCTGATTTATTAGTCTACAGGCGTATTTCCCCTTGTTAATTTACAGAATTCAATATAATCGTGATTGCAATGATAATTATCGGGACTAAACATTAATGCTAAGGTTCAAGAAGACGAAATGAATAGGTATGTATGATGGAATATTAGGACTCAAAATCTAGAGTAAGAAAAATAAAAATTATTTAAATCCCATGCCTGTTGCTGCTACCTTGGCGTGGTGGTCGGGCTTGCTTATTGTGATGAACCAATCAAGCTATACCGGCTGGAACAATCATTCCTCAAGGTCCTACCATGCTAAACAGGTCGGTTAAAGAGTGGTAAGACTAAAAGCAGCAAACCCAAGGTACGAGGGCGAAGTCGTACTGCTGCCTGTACAGAGGTGTGACGGCAGTAAAGTGTTTTCTTTAGACAGCCAGCATAACAGAGATGCTGCCTTGCCACAAGGAGGGGTGGGGTTAGAAATGGTCAACCCTAAAAATGCATACCTCTAATTATCCCACGTATATTCGACTCCGGCAGTAAGGTCTCAACAATTGCGAAGTTAACACGATAATTTCTCACAAAAAGGTAGTATGTGCTCAACCTCAAGCAGTTGTCTCTTGGGCACTGTGGTTACGCTCTCAGGTCACTAAAAGTATATCTAACCAAATTTCCTTTTCAGGTACCTCTAGAATAACTTCATATTTCAAAGATTTAATATTGTCTGAATAGACTGTTTTGAAACAAAGTTTTGTAACAATGATGTTTATATACGGTTGGTTCTGTTTTTATTCTGCCTGTTTTTTTCTTTTCATTTTACATAAACCCCTCCCCCTCACTTTAGTATGCCGGTTTCCCTATACCAAATGAATTGGAAAAATTATTACCAGAAATGCATAAAATATGCTCTGAAGAATTATTACATGAATTTCTAGGTAAACGAGAGTAAGTTGTCTTTTTCATATTATTTGATTTTTGATTTGTTTGGCTAATTATGTACTTTACTCTTTGTTCAGTCAGATTTGAGATGTTTTCAAATGATGTTTATCTAAATTTACTTAGTGTTGTTTACTTATATCTTCCCAATGATCAGTTTCTTGTTGGCATATGTGCATCCTTTGCGGACTGCCTCGATATTCCCTGAAGTCACAAGCTTTATAAGCAAAGATTGATAGTGGCTAACAGTGGAATTCAGTTTGACGCGTGTTTCGTCCTATTTTTGACTCGTCACCTAGATGTATCTGCATCTCAGAGTTGATGTTCACTCTGAAACTCGAACCCAATACCGTCCATTTCAAATACCATCGCATTATCCACTGAGCTACTGATTCCTGATAGTCACTTGCTTGTGTAATGAAGTGAAATCTGAATTCACTTGGTGTTGTTTACTTGTATCTTCCCATTATTATTTAGGACTGCAGTTGATCAGTCTCTTGTTGGCATATGTGCGCATCCTATGCGGACTGCCTCGATATTACCTAGCTGTTAGCTGAATAATTAGTTATTTTAAAGAAATTATATTGATAAATTAATTATTATTGTAATTTCAATAGTTGAAATCATGAGTCAATTAAAGCTAGACCATCATGGAAAACCTGGAAACACTGAACATCCGTTTCGTCCTATTGTGAGACTCCTAAGTGGCAGTGCACCTCCATGATCCCACCGCGCGAGATCTCATGATCTCAACTATTAAAATTACTATAATATCCACAACAAACCCTTCTGATACTTATTATTGTTTGTAAATAATAACCAGAAAGTCGAAATTGATGAAAAATTCACATCAGAGCAAATTAACACGTTGGCAGATTAGAGAATGAAGAAATTATCGATATGAAAGATATGATTTAGTTATCAACCAGTAATTCTAATTCCCTCCTGTACACAGCTTAAACTAACCGTTGATAAACACATTAATAAGATTATAAACCTAAGTCATTATATGAGATGACTGTAATATGTTATTACTTACCCTTACTTGAATTAATAACTATCATAAGTGTAAATTAAGAAAAACCTAACAGTGTTCAACAATACGCCGGGAAATAGAAGCAGATATGAAAAGGATGAATAACAACTGGAAATAATTGGAAAGGAAAGCTCAGGACAGAGTTGGATGGAGAATGCTAGTGAACGGCCTATTCTCCTCGACGAGGGGTAACAGGCGTAAATAATTAAGTAAGAATGTTCAAATATAAACTGTACAATCTCATTGATTGTTAAGCTAAGGCTTGTACGTAATAAAGTCATACATATCCTGGTAACTTTCTAGCTCAAAAATGGTTGCGATAATTTAGATGTGTGTATTCTTTGCGTTTTGTTTTGTTTTACTGTCACTACTACTACTACTACTACTACCACTATTGTGACTCCCTTTTGTCTTTCATTCTGTCAATAATTACCTTTTTTCTTTGCATTAATATAAAGTATACATTTACATAATAATTTATTATCTCTATATTCCATACTTTCAAGGGTTATGTATACTTGTTCCCATCACATTGTTATGAAATGTAATTTGAAATGGTTCTCATTATATAATGTAATATCCATAATTGAATCAAACTTATACATATATCATATGAAATGAAATGTTCTTTTTTTATATTTTCACATGTTTAACGAAAAACAAAATGTAGCATAAGATAAATCATGAAACTATGTATATAATAGAAATCAATCCAAGGTTGACAGTTATTTGCCTCTAGATGCCCTGGTACGGTCGAGAGTGGGGAGAGTCCGCTCTATCTCTCGAAATTCTCTCATACGGTCACATGTATATAGTCTCTGCCATGGAAGTCCTACTCACTGCCTTCTTATGGCATTACTGTTGTTTACGAAATTGAGAGGAAGAAAAGCGAATGTCCGGTGCTTTAACCGGGTCGGTGGACATGGAAAATCCACCTAGGGAAGTTGGAAAACCCTGATTCCAAACCAATGTTCCACATGGACTCCAGCATCTTGAGGGAACGAATGGCGTATGAATCAATCATTGGTCACCGGCTACCATGGGATTACATCTGCTCACGATGCTTCACTACCTTGTGGATCAGATTTTTAGGTCGAAGGCTCCAGGTGTGTCCCCCGTAAGAAAACCACCTGTTTGAGTTTGGGCACCCGGGCAGTATCACAGCCCTCACACAAATTAAATGAGATTTTTGCGGCGCATATGTATCTGGTGCTCCCTTGTTCCAATATATATGTGTTTAAATAATAAATAATAAATCACAGTTATTTAAATCATGCTTTCTTATAATATAGACTTATACTATGATGCTTTGCTTTGTCTGTTTATAACTATGTTCTATGTTACACACCTATGAAGCATGCTCCTTTTTTCTACCCGAAGTTTGTGCTGATGATGTTGTTCAGAAGGACGATGAAAGCTCCATGACCAACCCATCCAGCTCAGAGAACAAAACTCCATCAAAATTATCTACCTGACCTACAAATCTTCTCTAACATCTCAGTATTAATAGATTATGTTTCTAAGGCTATACTCACATCCTATAACTTATTCCATGTATGTTTAATATAAGTAGATATTCAGATAAATAATTGCTTACACCTGAAACATATAAACTTAATTGGTCGGATTAAATAAAACATATAGTATAGGTGACTTTTTAAACCATTGCTATATACTACTGAAGTGAACAGAACACTAATTGGGGACAATCGAATACATTTAAGCAAACATTACAGACTATCTCAGTAAATTCTAATAACTAAACAATGAACTGTTAATTTGCAAATTAACAACCAACTATTTCAATCTTCACTGTTTCTTCCCTAATTCCATTGCCCATGCATTTTCCAAACGATTGCGCTTCATTTCAGTTCATTCCTCATAGGTTTTCTGCCAAAATGCATTCTGTGTTTGACCAACACCATATACTACTTATATAGATATAAGTAGATCACAACACACTACTAATAAGCACGGATGTTTAATTATTTATTTTATTTCTTTATTCAAACACATAAATATTGGTACAAAGGGGAACCAGAGGCATATGCTCCGCAAAAATTTCATTTAATTTGTGTGAGGGCTGTGATACTGCCCGGGTGCCCAAACTCAAACAGGTGGTTTTCTTACGAGGGACACACCTGGAGCCTTCGACCTAAAAATCTGATCCACAAGGTAGTGAAGCATCGTAAGCAGATGTAATCCCAAGGTAGCCGGTGACCAACGATTGATTCATACGCCATTTGTTCCCTCAAGATGCTGGAGTCCATGTGGAACATTGGTTTGGAATCAGGGTTTTCCAACTTCCCTAGGTGGACTTTCCATGTCCACCAACCCAGTTAAAGCACCGGACATTCGCTTTTCTTCCTCTCATTTTCGTAAACAACAGTAATGCCATAAGAAGGCAGTGAGTAGGACTTCCATGGCAGAGGCTATATACGCGTGGCCATGGGAGAGTGTACTCTCCCCACTCTCGACCGTACCAGGGCATTTGGGGGCGAATCCCTTATTGTCAAATAGTGTAAGCTGTTCAAAGGGATCCTTGAAACGTTTAACACTAAGAAATTGTTTTATTCTTAAAAATCTTTTAAATTTCTATCAACTAAATTATTATGTATCCTAATAGTTTAATATATTCACATACTTACTTACTCACCCCTGTTGCCCCCAGTGGAGCATAGACCGCCGACCAGCATTCTCCGACCCACTCTGTCCCGGGCCTTCTTTTCTAGTTCTATCCAACTTTTGTTCATTTCTCTCATGTCTGTTCCCATTTCTTGGAGTAATGTGTTCTTTGGTCTTAATCTTCTCCTTTGACCTTCGGGATCCCATGTGAAGGCTTGCGTTGTGACGCAGTCACATACTTTCATATAAAACTTATAAGAGGCTACAAAGTGATATACTAAAAAAATTAAGTAGGAACATCACGATGTTCGATGTGTTTTTTTCTATTCTTCGCCTATTCTTTGAAGAAACTACAAATGATTGGCGCTTAAATTCATTCATTGTATGTTTCTGTATATATATATATATATATATATATATATATATATATATATATATATATATATATATATGAGACTCTTCAACAGTGCGCAGCCACGCTTCTGCACTCAAGATGGCGGTTCATTGATCAAGAGGTCAAGTGTTCATTCGCGAGCCCAGAAGTCCTAAGTTCGAATCACACGTGTGGCATCGTGAATCCACATTGCTTAGCAGTCACATTCTAGGATAAAACGGTCGTCCAACGATTCCAGTTTTTCAAAGATAGTCAAACATTTATCATTTATGTAATATATGCATATTGTTTTTTCTTTTATTTCACAGAGATTGGAAGAAAAATGTTCATATTGTATTAAGTGATTTATTTTCACTTATATTAAACAATATGATCAATTATAAAAAGTAAGTGTGAGTTAAAAAGATAAACAAATAAAGAATTTTATTTATTAAGATCATCATGGAATATCTGGAAGTACTGAATGTCTGTTTCGTCCTATTTTGAGACTCTTCAGAAGTGAGCATCTACTATAATATCCACAAAAACCCCCTTCTGATATTCACAGTATATACCAATCATCATAACTGGATACCATCATTATACAATCTTACGTTATCAATATTATACTGTTTATTTGGTTTAACTTCAACTTGTAAAATAAAAATAAGCTAGAAAATAAATAATAGTTTGTTTTATGGTGTAGAAGAGTAAGTTGGAAGAAAACTAAAAGCGACCAGACCAAAACATGGCACAAATCCATGAAGTCACTGACAATTGGACTGAGCCATGTTGGTAGGTGTAGACTACCTGGTTGGGATTCACGAGATGATAGCAATCGATGGTTGGAGACCTTGAATGACATGTCTCAAAATCGTTTGTAATGACGAAGGTGCATTCACTCTTTGTGTTCTCCCGAATTCTAACCTTCTGAATTCTTCATGTCTCTATCCTTCTTCTATTTTCAAATTTATTTCACTGGATTATATTCCTTCAATAACATCTTCAAACCCTAACCTTTCGGAATACTGCTTATACTCTTACTACTTCTACCAATATTGGATTTGAATCGACAACTTCATCTCTGTGCTAATGTGGTATGGCAAGTCGAACTGATGTACGTACGTACGTACGGAGTTCTACGTTGCTACTGACTGAGTGACTGAATTAGAAATCAGTTTCTTTGTTATAAACTTATATCCTTCGGGAATTGTAGAGATACAATGTTGACTTTATGGGTGTATACCTTTTTACGAAGTCTTAACGTAAAACGTAATCTTCTTTCAATACCTCTTTTATTTCAGTGACTACTTCATTGAATTTAGTTCCTGGTTCGTGATTCATTAAAGAAAAACAATCTTGATCCATTATAAGCAAAAATGGATAGTGGCTAGTAGTGGAATCTAGTTTGACGCACATTTCGTCCTATTTGGGACTCGTCAGCTGGATGTACCTGCACCTCAGAGTTGTTGATGTTCACTTTGAGACTCGAACCTAGTACCTTTCGCTTCAAACTCCAACATGTTATCCACTTAGGTACTGAGTCCTGATAGCCACTTGCTAATGCAATAGGGCGATCCATTCTAAATTGTATAGTTCAATTCACATTTATATTTATCATCCTTTAACTTTATTTTAATCTATTTAATCATTCAAAGTACACTGTTTGTTCCTTTTATATATCCATATTCTAATATAGATTGCCTCAATTTCATTTATATGCATGTCATGATTCATCAATTATGTTATTATTATTTGGTTTAAATATATTTGATGGTATTTGGCCACCATTTGCAGCTGATATTATATTTGAATTGTATACAACATCAACAACCTCGACAACATCTTCATCAACGTCGACATCATCATCAGAGTTATCCTCTATGAAATCTTTCCCATTACATTCATATGATAGTTCATTAATAGATGATAATTTAGATCATTTATGGTTTCGTATAATTTATCTTGGTAAACCATTACTCTTAAGATCATTATGGAATATATCTGATTCTTATAGTCAACACTTGAATGATCATTCATTTATACCATTTAAAGTATTATATAAATATATAGATAAAGCTAAAAATGGAATAGAATGAAAGAGAAAAAAGTATGTTATTGTTTTACTTGTTCACTTGGTTACTTGTTGCTGTTCTAGTTTGTCTCGTTTTTGCTATATTATCCTTATGAGATTGATTTCCCCTAGTATCAATTGTAGTAGTATTATCAGTAGTATTATAATCCGTATGTATTCATTTTATTGTTGTTTGATTAGGATTGATTATGTAATTTTTTTTTTTGTGCCATTCAATATATTACTCCCTCTTTCATTGATTTTATTAATGATTTATAATTTTCGACATAGTAACTAAATATGTATTTTTTTTTTCTTAAAAAAAAAATGCCTCCCCCCCCTCTCTCTCTGTTTCATGATTATAGTTGTTTGATTCCAATCTTAAATGAATAACACATTTATTTATGATTAATTTATTGTTTTTTTTTCGGGGGGGGGGAGGATTTACAGAATATATTTAAGTAGTATAGTAAGATTGATTTTTCTTTTTTTTTTCTTTGTTATTCATTTTATTTTTATTTCTTTTTTTTCTTTTCACTTATTTTTATTTCATCATTATTCTCCAATTCTATTTACTTTACTTTACTTACTTACTTACTTATGCCTGGTACCCCTCATGAAGGAGCATAAGCGGCATACCTGTTTAATGATGTATATTTTCTAGTATAGTTTAATCAAATCATTATGAATTGATATTTTATTTGTAATAACTATATCATCACTTAATTACTTTTTGGATATGATTTAACTTATTGGATTATTTAAAAAGCAAAAATGAAAATCATGACAAAGTTCCAAGAGGTGAACCTATTGAAAAGATTATTATAATGATCCATATATAATAATAAAGCATATACCCAACTTCATGATGGATTCTCCGTCATTTCGTGTTGGATTCTTCACTATTTCCTGTTTTTTTTGAATTATATCTACCCTAATTTAATAATGTTTACTTTAGGCATCAACCCTTATTCATTTTGTATTTTTTTTTTAGAGCGAGAGAGGAAAAATTAAAATTTTTTTTAAAAAAAAAAATTATTTATATAAATTATAAATGTTATATTAATTTTTATAAACTTTATCCTGTATACACCCCCAAATGCCCTGGTACGGCCAAGAGTGGGGAGAGTCACCTCTCCCTCTCGAAATACTCATATGGCCAGCGAATATATAGCCTCTGCCAGGGAAGTCCTACTCACTGCCTTCTCGTGGCGGGGGCGTTGTTTACGAAAGTGAGAGGACGAAAAGCGAATGTCCGGCGCTTTAACCGGGTTGGTGGACACGGAGGGTCCACCTAGGGGAGTTGGAAAACCCTGATTCCAAACCAATGGTGCACATGGGCTCCAGTATCCTGATGGAACGAATGGCGGAGGAACCTGTCATTGGTCAACGGCTACCATGGGACTGCATCTCCTCACGATGCTCCACTGCCTTGTGGATCAGACCTTTTGGTCAAAGGCTCCGGGTGTGGCCCCCTAAGAAAACCACCTGCTTCAGTCTGGGCACCTGGGCAGTATCACAGCCCTCACACAAATCGAATGAGATTTGTGAGGCGCATATTTATCTTGTGCTTCATTGTACCAATATTTATGTGTTTAAATAAATAATAAATAAAATAATCCTGTATACATTATTATGTAAGAGTTATTAGAAATTATACATGATAATGTAATGAGTAAATGTGTGTTGATCAATTGGGAATTAAGATTGAATTTTTTTTTTTTGTTTATTCTGATTAGTGGGGGTTTCCTTTTTTTTTTTTTTGTAAGATGTTTTTCAATAGGGTGATGGGGTTGTGTAGTGCCGTGCTTTGATCATAGTTCACTTCGATAACCGTTATTAATACCAATCTTAACGGTGTATAATATCAGAAGGCAAAGGGAAGCGGCAACTACATTTTTATTGATAATCGATGCAAATCAGAAAGTTGTAAGCAAATGAGCAACTGTAAGCAAGCGAAGCAAAGATGATACGTATTGGAGATGGCTGGGAAGCCAATTCATTTTAAGCAAGTGTTAACTAACATTTATAGGCAGGCAAAAATGAGTGACAGACATATGATGAATAAGATACGAAGTGTACACATATGCGCTCATATAAAAAGTACTCAAGATTAATAAGCAAATGATTAACAAGATCAAAAGATGACTCAATGTACAGGTGAATTGGCTTGGCCAGTAACTAGAATAAAGTATATGGGCCTAACATATGAACTGGTACTACAGTTGCCAACCCCATATTTAATCATTCTTCTTTAGCTGGACTTGAGAAAGAAAGTAATCTTAGAAAGGCTACAAACAGAGTGGATAGAATCATGAGGTAAGTGCTTACTTGAAATACTGTAGGGCAATGGAAAAAAAAGGAAGAACAAATAACATATTTCGTCGGGAATTGGTAGCCGACACGAAAATAATGAATAGCAACTGTAAAGTATTGTCCATGACAGATTTGTATGGAGAATTCTGGTGAGAGGACAATGCGTAAGTAAGTAAGACTGAATTAGAAGGGGTTTTGTGGAGATTTCAGTCTTATCATAGTTGAAATCATTAGTCAATTGAAGCTAGAACACCAGGGAAAACCTGGAGGCGCTAGATGGCCGTTTCGTCCTATTACGGGAATCCTCAGCCGGGCGCATCCACGACCTCGCCTCGCGAGATTCAAAACCGGGACCAGGAATTGGAAGACGACATGAGAAGTATAAATAGCAACTGTAAAGGATTGTGTGGGATAGAGTTCTATGGAGAATTCTAGTGGATGGACTATGCTCCTCTACGAAGGGTAACAGGCGTAAGTAATTAAGATTGAATTATTAATACAACTCTTCTTGTATAGAATCGTCTGATAAATTAACATGTTCATACTTAGAATGCTAAGCATAAAAATAAACATGATTAGATACCAATAATAAATATATTTATTGTTATATTTATTTACTCTGAAGAATTGCCTTACATTTAGTTACGAAACGTCAGAAATATAATTCCTCTAATCATTGGGATATATCAAAAATATATCATTAGACACCATAAAAACTGTTATTAGATTCAAACTCATTTAGAATTTGCTCCTCACATTCAATATAGATTTCACTAGAAATATATGATTCATTAGGGCAGACCATATCTAATAAAATAACATCACAGTTCTGATTAGGATTTGGTGTATTTGATATATCTTCCACATGTTTATAAATAATTTCATTAGAAATACACGAATAATGAGAACTATGCATATCTGATCAGAGTATGATTCATTTAGAACATTCAACCTAATAGGATAGGAATTACAAAGTTTAGTGTTACTTGTAGCGAAATAAACATTAATATTAGACACTGCTTGATTAGGTCCAACTTCACCACATTTAAAGCATTTATCATTACGAAATACACATTAGTTGCGTGAGTGAAATTTGCCACAGAACAAATTTGTTGCAATCTGGTCCAAAACATTTCAAGGAATTATAATCAAACATGATTGAATTTCATTTGCTATATATGTAAAAATTGTACTTTCCTTAAAGATTCACCGATTAGAGACGATATGATATGAATCAATTATGTCATTTCATGCATAAAATGAAGATAAATAAACCAAACGAAGGAATGAATACTTGTGTTATTTTTATTGTTCCAGTTGTTTAACACATTCAAATAAGACAAGATAATGGAACCGTTAAATGTAATCTCTGTGATTCAGAAAACCACTGATATATTAAATAGAATAACAAGTTCACGTTTTCTTGTTAATTATCAGTTGCCATGGGACAGCTAATTGTATTCCATCTATCCTATTATACTGTTTGAATTTCCCCATATGTGTAGAGCTTCAATTGTTGATCTTTCTTTGTCGAAGATTCTTGTGCCATTAAAACCAATTGTATGGTCCGGCTCTATTGAGTGTGATGCCATCGGTTATTCGTTTGTTTTCCTACATCATCTGAATATTTATAAATGTGTTTCAAGCATAGTTTATGTTCCTTTACCCTCACATATGTGGCATTTTAGTCATTACATTTGATATCATGAACATAATTTTGTTATTCACCATTGTGTATTGGATCTGTGATTTTTACTAATTTTGACCTCAAAGTATTGATTGCTCGAGAGAATGCTCTTATATTTTGGAGGATTAGGATTCTTTTGATCTCTTCTGAAACGCCTATACCATATGGGATCATCACTGTGCCAACGCACTCTTTTTGCCCAACTGTTGTAATTGTATATTTGCTATATAAACGTCCCAGCTATTCTTATTGCTTAGTATTCTTATACAATGACACTCAACAAGACCCAAAATCAGAACACGTTAAAGAGGAAGGAAATTATATTCAAAATAATAATGGTATGTGAATAGCAATCACTGACTTGAATAACGTTCATATAATTATAGTATATGCATAAGAAGCTTCTGGATTTTTCTCCAATATTATGCCCGGGCTGATTAGTTTAGAATTAGCCAATCAGCGCGCAGCAACACCATCATGCATGAAACATGCTTTAACCCAATCTATGTACCTCTTGATGTTCTGCTAGACACCTCTGAGATCGAAACACCTGAAACAGACAGGACAGTCAAGGTGCAAACGAAGGATGATACAACGTCCTTATTACCTAGAAGGTGGACTAACTGGAAGCACAAACTAGTAAAGCGGTTGCAGTTGGACCCTAGCACCAGATCCTGCAAATCTGCTCAAGGGGGGAGGTGTTAGCGGGACATAGATTGGATTAAAGCATGTTTCATGCATGATGGTGTTGCTGCGCGCTGATTGGCTAATTCTAAACTAATCAGCCCGGGCATAATATTGGAGAAAAATCCAGAAGCTTCTTATGCATATACTATAATTATATGAACGTTATTCAAGTCAGTGATTGCTATTCACATACCATTATTATTTTGAATATAATTTCCTTCCTCTTTAACGTGTTCTGATTTTGGGTCTTGTTGAGTGTCATTGTATAAGAATACTAAGCAATAAGAATAGCTGGGACGTTTATATAGCAAACATACAATTATAACAGTGGCGAC